TATATATATTATATAAAACACAATATTATATATATATGTATATATATTTATATATATTATAGCACAATATTATATATATATGTATATGTATTTATATATATATTATATATAACACAATAATATATATATATATATATATATATATAACGAGAAAGGCTGGAAAATTCAAATTTTAAAAAATTCATTATTATATATGCGAGTTTGGCTATAAAATCCAACAGAATTTATATAGATTTTATTTTCTTTTTCTTTCCATCACTGGCAAAAAAGGAAAAAAAATATTTTAAAATTTAAAATTCCCAGTGTCTCTGGTTCGTGTGCATGGTACGCAGTCGCATCCGCGTAAAGAAAACTTAGTCCGATGAAGACCTAAAATATGAAACACGTCAGACGAAAAACGTTTTTCTCACTTTGTTATGCATCTTTCCTTAATATTTATATATATATATATATATATATATATATGTGTGTGTGTGTGTGTGTGTGTGTGTGTGTGTGCGTGTATATATATATATATATATATATATATATATAGGTAACTATACTGTTTGAAAAAACCTTCGAAATTTTGATTTGCTAATGGTCAAATCAATCTCGAAGGAAAAAAAGGTTTTAAAAAAAGAAAGAGCTAGAAACATGAAAGTCTGTCGAAAAAATCGCACCGATACAGGTCTGAAGCCCAAAGAGAAAAAAAACCCGACACGAGTAAACAACTAACTAAAAGGAGCTCAATACAACCGTAGAGCAGGCCTAGATAAACATTAGGAGCCAGACAAACCTACCCAGCTCTCCCTTATGATCCGCTCAGGTGAAACCTGGGTAAGTTTGTCTGGCTCTACTAGGTTTGACTATTTATATATATATATATATATATATATATATACATATATATCCGAATATAAAGAGAAGAGGAAAAACTATTTTATATCAGAGACGAAACGCTTCAACAAGAATAATTTTCTCCTAGTTTTTTATTCATTTTCATTTTTACACACACACACACACACACACACATATATCACACGCAGATATATATATATATATATATATATATATATATATATATATATATATAGTGTAACCTGTATATAAGAGAGTTGTCGGGACCGGTGAAGAAGTCTCTTATATTTTTTTTCTTATATCCGGGTTTGGTCTATTATATGTACATTAACACAGGTTTCTAATTAGTGACCAGAGAAAATCTCTTATATCCGGTTTTTCTTATATCCGGTTCTCTTATATCCGGGTTACACTGTATGTATATATATATATATATATATATATATATATATATATTTTTTTTAAGCATTTCACCCCAAGCAAGGTGGGAGCCACTAGGACGCAAGGGGTTACAGAAAATAGGAAGATCAGATAGGAGTGATAGAAGAAAGGATGAGGGTAGTAGATAGATTAAGGCAACTGGAGATGTCGATTGACATTACACTTGAATAGCTGGAGATTATAACTCTCAGGGAAACAGGAGAAGGGAAGAGAGTTCCACAGGCGAGAGGTACGAGACATGAAGCTATTAGAGTAGAAGAGACGGCTACATTTAGGAGTTTCTGACAGTGAAGGGGTGAGAGCGGGATGCCAGCCTCGTAGGGCGCTTGAACTCATGAAGTTTGGGAACCAGCGAATGCAGTTCCTCGGAGCAATTTCCATGAAAGTATTTGTAGAACAGACAGAGGGAGGCGACGGTGCGTCTGTGAGAAAGTGACTGTAGACGAGACGCCAGGGCAGGGCCAACCATATTACATATCCGCTTCTGGAGCCTATCAAGAACCCTGAGGCAAACAGAAGGGGCGCCAGACCATATATGGCAGCAATACTCCATGCAAGGGCGAATTGTGGATTTGTATATCTGGAGGATCGACTCAGGGAGAAAACTTCCTAGCACGGCTCAGGGAGCCAACTTTCCTCGCAATGGACCAGGCAATTGACCTGATGTATTTATTCCATCTCAGGTCAGCAGTCAACGTGAGACCGAGAAGCTGCAGAGAGTTGCTCTCGAGAAGTTGAGCGTCAGACATTATAATGGAGGAAGGGAAGGCTTTTGTGGTGATTAATAGAGAGCAGTTTTGTCTTCGAAGCGTTGAAGTTGACCAGCCAAATCATGCCCCAGTTCACAATCGATTGGAGGTCATTTTCGAGGCGCACGGCAAGGTGAGTTTTGTCAGCGAGACTGGATTTGTTTTTGAGGCAGGAATAAATTGTGGTGTCATCCGCGTAGATGCCGACTTGAGAAGTTACGGCGTCAGGAAGGTCATTTATATAGATAAGGAATAGAGTGGGGCCTAGGATGGAGCCTTGAGGGACACCTGCGTTCGTGGGGTAGGAACTGGAGGAGAATCCGTTGTGAACGACCTTCAATTTACGGTTTGACAGGAATGATTGTATTACGTTATATAATTGACCCGTAATGCCATAACCCTGATCTTGCGGAGAAGGCCGGCGTGCCAAACCCTATCAAATGCTTTGAGATGTCTAGTGCCACGGCTCGGGCTTCCCCGTTATTTTGGAGAGTTCGGTAGACTGTTTCCGTGATGGCTGTGAGCACATCGGCTGTAGATCTGGCAAAGCAGAAACCATATTGCTTGTCTGAGAGCAGATTATTGGATGTGAGGTGGTTAACCACCCCGGTATTGATTAGAGCTTCGAAGATTTTGCCGAAGAGGGGAAGGAGACTGATAGGACGGTAGTTGGAAGGGTCAGAGGGTCGCCGGAGTTCTTGAAGACAGGAACGATCGAAGAGGACTTCCAGCAGTCAGGAAAAAACAAGATTCCTTTGAGGCAGTAGTTGTATAGTTTCGAAAGGGCGGGCGCCAGTTCAGGCGCGCATTTCTTTAAGACAATGGCTGGTATCCCATCTCCACCACTCGCCTTGTTGGGATCTAAATTGAGATAACGCCCAGTACCAAGGTTGGGGTTATGTTTAACCCGCTCAATATGGCCTCAGTTCTAAGAGGGAAGTCGGGTATGGGTACACCAGAAGAGTCGAGCGTCGAGTTGATGAAAATTTCCGAGCAAAAGCATTTAGCCTTGTCGGTAGAGGAGGTCAAGACTTCGAACTGGTTGAATAGAGGAGGTAGAGAGGGTTTGCAATTATTCAATACACTCTTGCAGAGACGCCAATAATCTTTGGAGCCAAATTTGCGAGATGCAATACGTTCCTTCATTCGAGCCGCAAATAGTGACTTAGCATCATATATATATAATAACCATGGTACAGTGTAACCCGGATGTAAGAGAGTTGTCGGGACCGGAGAAGAAGTCTCTTATATACGGGTTTCTCTTATATCCGGGTTTGGTCTATTTTATATACATTAACACAGGCTCTAATTTGGGACCAGAGAAAATCTCTCTTATATCCGGGTCTCTCTTATATCCGGGTTACACCGTATATATATATATATATATATAATAACCATGGTACAACCAGGGTGTATATAAATACTTTCATAGACTTTGAAGGCGGATACCTCACCCAAAAACAAGGACAAAAGTCCATATAAACATTTGTCCGCAAATAATTCGTTTTTGAGTTATTAGGTTTAATATTTACAGTAGACGATGTTAAATCCAAGATACAATTCAAAAATATTAGGTTGGTGCAAAAATAATGACGTAATAATGTCGTTTTTTTACCTATTTTTTAACGTCAAAAAACGACATTCTTACGTCATTATTTTTGCACCAACCTAATACTTTTAAAGAATTTAAGGGCGGGTTCATGACACGAAAACAAGTTAAAATGTGCATAAAAATATATGTCCAAAAAGTCATCATTGTATCTCCGTTCAGCAACTGATAACAAATGTTCAAAATGTCCTCCGCATGCCCCCGTCGGATCAATGACTGGCGGACCCTTTCAAATAAACCCACGCGGTGTCGAATGGTTTCGCAGACCCCCATGACACGCTGATGAAGCTTCCTGCATTATTGATGTCTGCTGTATAAACCAATTGTTTTAGGTGACCGCAGAGATAAAAATCCAAAGGATTGAAGGCGGGGGAACATGCAGACCATGTAACCGGTTTGCCCCTACCTATCCATCTTTCATGGTAGATATCAGCCTGGGCATCGCGAACAATGTAAACAAAATCTGCTGGAGCCCCATCGTGCATGAAATAGGTGCGTCTTCGTATTAGCAGAGGTACATCCTTTAGCAGGTCTGGAAGGGAATTCGGAATAAAGTCCATGTAGACTGCTCTGGTATGACGTGCTGGGGGAACATATGGACCTACCACACAGTCACCGACAATTCCAGTCCACCTATTAATCGTATACTGATGTTAGTGTTTAGCCTGTATTATACAATGGGGATTTCGATCCGTCCATAAATGCTAGTTGTGTAAATTTGTTATTCCATCTCTTCCAAATGTTGCCTCGTCTGTAAACAAGATGAAGGGACAAACAACGGATCGGCATTTTGTTTAATAAACCATCGGCAAAAGTTTTCCTCTGGTCAGTGATCAGAGGGCGAAATACCCTGCACAATTTACAAATGATACGGATAGAGGAGACGCTCTTGAAGTCCACTTCATCCGGTACTATGAGATGTGCGACATGTTAGGGCCACTTGACGTGTGATGATATATGTATGAATCGTCTACGACAGACTGTAGAATGTGTTCTTCATAGTCAGGCGTACGAGCGGATATCGGTCTTCCACGATCCATTTTGTAATGCGAGAGATACTGTCCCAGCAACGCGACGATAAACAGCAGCAAAGCTTGGAAGACTCGGCTGCCTTTAGTCTGGAAACGCAAACTGATACATCCGTGCAGCCTCTCGTCCATTACTATTCGTGCAGCGCTATGTAAAAATCATATCTGCCGGCTCACGATATGAATATCCCGCCATTGTTAAACGAAACACTTCTCGGTTAACAGAATACTACACGTGCCATGAGAGTTTACGAATAGTAAGTAAGAAATAAACCGGAAATACTGCTGTAAACTGATACCATTAAAGAAAAATGTCTAAAAAAAAGAAAGTAATCAAGAAAAAGAGAAACAAATCGAGAAAGAAATAATGAAATTGGTTGAATGAAATCGGTTGCTTAGAAAAAAAAGATTAAAAGAAAGAAAGAGAAGAGAAGAGAAATGATTATAAAAAGATGAAAATAAATAAAAAGAACGAAAGAATATTTTAAGAAGAAATGACTTTAGAAAAAAGATTAGAAAGAAAGAAAGAAAGAAAAAAAGAAAGAAAGAAAGAAACGAGTAGGAAGAAAGAAAAAAGAAACAGAGAGGGAAAAGAGTAAAGGTATACGAGAAAGAAAGAAAAAAAGAAAGAAAGAAAGAAAGAAAGAAAGAAAGAAAAGTAATAGATGAAAGAAAGAAAGAAAGAAAGAGATAAAAATAATAGAAGAAAAAAGAAAGAAAGTGAGTTAGAAAAGAAAGAAAGAAAGAAAGAAAGAAAACCAAAGGAATCGATGAAGGAAAGAAAAGGGAAAATAAGAAAGAAAGAAAGAAAGAAAGAAACTCAAAGGAATCGAGGAAGGAAAGAAAAGGGAATCTAAGAATGAAAGAAAGAAAGAAAGAAAGAAAGAAAGAAAGAAAGAAAGAAAGAAAGAAAATCAAAGAAATCGATGAAGGAAAGAAAAAGGAATATATGTAAGAAAGAAAGAAAGAAATTGGAATAGATGTAAGATGAAAGAAAGAAAAAAGTAAAGGGAATATATGTAAGAAGAATGATAGAAAGAAAAGAGAATAAACGAAAACGAAAAGAAAGAAAGAAGTATCGTTTAAGAAGAAAAATCTTCAGAAAAATTTTTAAAAGAAAGAAATCGACAGATAAGAAGAAAAGTATTTAGTAAATTAAATAATGAAATAAAAGAAAGAAAGAAAGAAAGAAAGAAAGAAAGGTAATAGGCTGAGTAGAAGTTGATTTTAGAAAATTGTCTAAAAGAAAAATCCAAAACAAAAAAGGAAGGAAGGAAGGAAGGAAGGAAAATAGATAAGTAGAAAGGAAGAGATAAAATGAAAATTCTTTTAAAGAGAGGAAAGATTGGTTGCGATTATATAAAAAGGCAAAATAAAAGAAAGAAAGAAAGAAAGAAAGAAAATCTTTAGAAAAAATTATAAAAAAGATAGAAAAAGACACATAAGAAATAAACTAGGAAATTGGAGTAAATTAAATGAATAAAGAAAGACGGAAGAAAAAGAAAAAAGAAATAAAGAAAAAGAATAAAAAGAAAATAAGGAAAAAAGAAAGAAATAAAGAAGAAAGAAAAAAATGTTTAGAAAATTGTCTAAAAGAAAAATCCAAAATAAAAAAGAAACAAGGAAGAATCTAGAAGTCGAAATTGTAACTTAACAAATACAAATTATTGAAAATGATTAAAAAGAAAAAAATGTAACGTTTAATAACGACCAATGTAAATATAAATAAATATATAAATTAATAAATTTACAAAAAAAAAAAGGAAAGAAAAAAAGACGAATAAAGAGAAAAAAAAAACAAAAGCGCAAAGCAATAATACATTTGATAAGCGGCCCTTATGCAAGCGGACCTTTATTCTCAAAGAATACCCTGACAAGCCATGAGATGTGCCTTGGTGCATCTGCGACTGTGCAGTTGAATACCAGGAAGGAGGGGGCTAAGATGTCTGCCAGGCGAGAACATGTCGTCTGCCGACGTTAATTAAACGAGATAAGGAAAACAAAAAAAAGGCGGTTCGACCGGGATGAGCCTGATGAAGTCGCACGCAGCTTCTGTGAAACCTATTTTTATTCTTCCCCTCTTTTGTTCTTGTCATATTATCTGTTTGTCTTAGTTGATCAAATAAACGGCGTTTTCTTGGGTTATATTCTTTCTACTCTCTAAGGGGTGGGGTGGGGTTGATAATTAGTAATTTGTTTATTTACTAGCAGGGTAACCCAGCGTCATTCGGGTTCAAATAATTTAACCTTTGCTACTTAATTACATTAAGCTGGTTGATAAAGAAGAAGAAAAAAAGAAATAAAGAAAACAGGAACGCAATTAAAAAGTGAGAAAAAAAAAGGCGCTGATATCAGCAGAAAATGTTATCGTCGAACCAACTTCAAATTCCAGCCGAATCTTTTGCGTTGTCTTTCACTCTAATACCTTTGCGAAAGGCAGGCATTTCAACTCTATTCCCGCCAGACCAGTCCCTCTAGCCTTGACGGTAGTCCAGAAAAAAAATAACGCTGAATTAAAAACCGTAGAGAAGGAAAAACACTCCACTATCTTTCCTACGAAGTTATGACAATTCACAGATAATGAAGAAAAGGAAGCCGTGGAGAGCTGTTATATAATATTCTGAAGGGAGAAATATCTGTTCTGAATTCAAAAAACATGGAGAATGCAAAAGGTAATCACTCCACTATATTTCTCAAGAAGACATATCAGTTCACAGATAATGAGAAAAAGGGAGTTGTGGATAGTCATGATTCCTTACGACCTGAAGGGAGAAATGATACGTCGAATTTCAAAACGGGACAACCACCCCACTACCTTTCCTAAGAAGTTATGACAATTCACAGAAAATGAAGAAAAGGAAGCTGTGGAGAGCCATTACTATTTATATTCTGAAGTAGAAACGTTTTTCTGAATCGAAAGCCGTGGAGAAGGCAAAGGGGAATTAAAACACTATCTTTCACAAGATGTCATGTCAATTCACGTATAAAGAACAAAATACTTTTCAGCAACGAAAAAAAGAAGCTGTGGAGAGCCATGATTCCTTACGATCTGATATATCTCTGAATTTCCAGTCGTCCTTTACAAATTACAATGTATTTATATAAACATTAAAAACGTTACATGTTTCAGAAGCTCTCAAAAAAAAGAACATTTTTGTTTTGAAATAAATAAAACATAAGGTAAAAATGAAACATTGGAAAACAAGACAAATTACGAATTAGTCGTCGATAAATAAATAAACACAAATATTGTTTGTTAATTTGGGAAAAAAGATAGCTGAAAAAATGCCGCAAAATACTTTTTTAGACTTTTTTTTTTTCAGATAATAATGATTTAGTGATGCAAGCCTTACTAATTAGCCCATATCTGGGGGTAGAAGAGAATGGTCCATACTTTCCCAAAGGGTATTTGTTCGTAAGTGTATATAACTCGTGTCGCCGATTAACAGTTCCGAAATATTATCAATTACAACACCTGGTATTCCCAAGGGGTAACCCATATAAATATTGACCATGCTCGACGTTGCTTAACTTCAGTGACTACGTACATGTTTATTTGTATCTACTTAGGTTGATGTATGTTCTGTATATATTTGTAGATGCGAATAGTTTAATAAAATTTGTATATATATATATATATATATATATATATATATATATATATATATATATATATATATGGATATATGGTGAGTTAGATGACCCTGGGTTTCACGCTTTAGCGTTGTCTGACGATCGCTAAAGCGTAAAGCTATATATATATATATATATATATATATATATATAGCATTCTTGTCTAAAGATGGTAACTGCAAAAGTTTGTTAATTTGGAAAAAAAAAAGATGAATATAAAAATCGGGATTATGATTTAAGCCTGGATTATGATTTACAATATACAAAAAATTATACTAGCGTTTTTTTTTTTTGTTGTTGTTTTTTATTTTTATTCCGTGATTCGTGTACTGCAGCCAAAGTGGTGATTCTTTGGGCAAGAAGTCTCTCCATGACCGTTTTGAATTCAGAGCTTTATCCGGTTGCAATCCAAGGTTATAGAACCCTGTCTGTCCTGCTATTTACCCATAGCTGGAAGGAGAAGATTCTGAAAACTTCCCCAAGGATATTAGCACGTAAGTGAATGTAATGGAATTCAAATTCGGCTCTCCGATTCCTCAATCTGAGCAGCTATCGATTACTCCACCGTGCCTATATTAGACTGCGCACACCTAAACTATGAATTGACCAAAATATGAACATGAGTTGATAAATATATATTTAGGTAAACAACAAAAACACAAAAAAAAAAAATCTGAAAAAAAACAAACAAACAAACGATCTTCAGGTTAGATCCTCTTTATATATATATATATATATATATATATATATATATATATATATATATATATATATATATATATATATATTCGTCAGTCTTCCGAAGATCGTAGATCGAAGTAAGCTTGTTCCCCAATTGAGGTGATTTTTGATTTTATTGTGTATTAATTATTTGCTCTGTAATAATAAATACATTGAGCTCTTTTTGTCGATTCTGTGGATATATATATATTCAGTTGTATGGATATGAGTTTGCAACCCAGGGTTTTACTCTCAGTCGTTATTATACTGGATACTTCGTCTTTGAAATAGACGCCTCATTTTTATTCAATAACAATTTGTATTATGTCTATTGGCTCATTAAAAGAAAGTGTTCTGTATATACCGTATATACTCATGTATAATACGACCCCTGAATTTATTTTTGAAAAACCTGATTCTTTCCATATAGCCCGTGTATAATGTGACCCCAGCTTCTGAGCAATACTAGTGGGCCTACCGTAGTCAAATATTGCACTACTGGGCCTCATCCTGGACATATTTTAAAACCACTTACCGTAAAATTCCTGATACAAAGATTTACATACCATAATTTGGTTTTTGTTCATGCCTGACCTGGTAGGTCACGGTGACCTGACCGAAAATGCATGAATTTTAAACCTTCCAGAAAATAATTAGCTTTTAAAAGTGAAACCGGTCACCTAAAATGGATAATATTAGGTTGGTGCAAAAATAATGACGTAAGAATGTCGTTTTTTTTACGTAGAAATGTACGTCAAAAAACGACATTGTTACGTCATTATTTTTGCACCAACCTAATATAAAACGGCGACAATTTACCCATCGCAAACAGTATATTCTCGTGTATAATTTTACTCCATGTGTAATGCAACCCCTGAAATTATTTTTGATAATCCTGATTGTTTACATAGAGTTCGTGTATAAAGTGACCCCAGCTTCTGAGCAATACTTAGTAGGTCTATTGTAGTCAAATAGTGCAATACTGGGCATTTTATAGCCAGTAATTGGTATTCATTCTTTTTGTACAAAGTACGAAGCTAACCCAAAATGGTGAGAAAGACCACTCACCGTAAAATAGCTGAATCGAAGATTTAGATACAGTACTTTTGTTTTCGTTCATGTCTGACTACAGTAGCTCCTTTACTCTGGGTCTCCCTCCTACGTAGCCTAAGCTTTTTCCCTTTTGTCTCTACATGAAAAGCCAAACCCCATCCACTATGTATGCCACAATTACCTTATACAGGCTGACCCCCAAAAAAGGGAACTTTTAAGAATCCAATAAAACAAAGAGTGACAGAAGAAAAATATTTTATTCATAGTAATTGAAACCTTAAAACATGCCATTTAAGAAACAATGACGAAATTTTCATTTTTTAAAAATTACGTCCTGTAGATGGCGTCCTCCTGTACGAATGCATTCTTGAAATCTGCTGTTGAGATTCCTCATTGACTGCTGCTAACGCACGCTGTTGTTCGTTTCGCTGATCCATGGTTACTAAAATGGCAAAATGTTTACTTGCTCAAGGTCACTGTCTCGCAGTGTTGCCACTTGCTCATGTCTGGCAATACGCAATTCAAAAATTCCCATTTTTTTGGGTCACCCTATATAAATGAAGAATTAATAGATTTTCCTATCTCAAATTTGCATCATCTTTCGTTTCGTGTTTACATCACAGATGTATTAACTCTCCAATGTCACCATTTTTGTCAGGGTTACCTTTACATAAGGCAGGGTGTTCCACGAGTTGATGTACATACTTATTAGTTATGATATTTCAAGTCATAAAGTGTATTCTATACATAGGTTGTTTTTTGCTTCATTTTGCTAGGAAGTGAGGTTGTTTTAAATGTGTGCTTTGGTGTGTTGCCTTCAATCTGTCCTGTGAGTATCATATTTCCCAAGCCGTCATGCACCCTAGAAATGTCAACTGTCTCTTTCCGGTGTTAAGTATAAGTTTTCTTTGTCTCATCGTAAAATATCTGAGACGAAGATTTGCATACAGTACTTTTCTTTTCGTTCATGTCCTTTAACCTGGGAGTGCATCCTATGTAGCCTACGTTTCTACCCTATTGTTCCTACTTAAAGACCAAAGCCACATTCACTATGCGCTTTTTTTTAATTTTTTTACAGTGATAGTCAACTTTTACAAGGCCCGAGGGCCACTCGAGGTAGAGGGTTATGTTAGGAGGATATTTGTGTGTATAGGTGAGGGAGATAACGATTAACCCTAGCCTTAAATAGGCTAAGATTCTAGTGATTGGGGGAAAATCCTGTTGGGAGTCGATTCGGCACTTAAAATCAAAAAATACTTTATATAAATGAAGAATTAATAGATTTTTTCTCCTACCTCAAATGTGCATTCATCTTCATTTCGCAAATGTTTACATTGCTGATGTATTCCCCTTCCAATGGCAAACTTTTTATCAGGGTTACCTGTACATAATGCAGGGTGTTCCACGAGTTGATCTACATACTTATGGGTTATGATAATTTAAATGATTCTAGTAAATATATATATATATATATATATATATATATATATATATATATATATATATATATATTGGTTGTTTTTGCTTCATTTTGCTGAAAAGTGATGTTGATTTAAATATGATCTCCGGTGTGTGTGACAAAATGGTTCTGGGCTGCGTCTCTGGCTGCCCAGCAGATGTTGGTTGGCTTATAATGCTGAATCTTATTTACGTTTAAAATTTACCTCTGTATAGTGGGAAGAAGCTGCTCGATTGGAACCTACTTCTCACCGATTGAATTGTATTGCTATTTACCTTGATCTGCTTGATAAGATCGAAAGAAGAATCAGCAATATTAATGGTCCTGATCTGGCTGCTCGGCTTCAGCCACTTTCCTACCGCCGTCAGATTGCCTCTCTGTGCCTTTTTTATAAATACTTTCATAGTAATTGTTCGGATGAGCTCTTCGCTATGGTACGTATAGTTTTTTAATTTAACCGCAGCACTAGACTAGCGTCGAGATCTCATCAATTTACAATTGAGCTGGCTAGATTTTTATTTTTTTATATATATACGGTGAGAGTCACACTCTAAACGTCCGAGGGCCACTCGAGGTAGAGGTGTGTATAGCTGAGGAAGATAACGATTAAGCCTAGCTTTGAATAAGTGAAGATTGTAGTGATCAGGGAGACATCCTGTTGGGAGTTGATTCGGCACTTAAAATCAACAAATACTTTATATAAATGAAGAATTAATAGATTTTTTTCCTATCTTAAATTTACATTCATCTTTGTTTTCGCAAGTGTTTACATCACTGATTTTTGAGTGGCTCTCTGCTGCTGCTGTTGTTGCCCGTGGTCATCGTGTGTAGGCTAACCTAAAGTAATGAACATTATGATTTACCTGTACGTAGTGCTACCGGACACCGAAAATGCATGATTTTTAACCTCTAAAATAAAATTACCTGTGTATAGAGCGACGCCCTATGTTTTGCGTAAGAAATAGATCATAAAAACTCGTCCTATACTTGAGTATATACGGTAGATAGGATCGGAACAAAAGTTCGGAGTTTCTTTAACTGAAATTCAAAGACAATATAGAATTATTCAACCACACATGTTCCATTTTGTTTTCCCAATCTTTGAGACAGCTTCATCATTCCAACCTCCTTAGCATCTTTTTGGGTGAGGAACTGATCGGAACAAAATTTGGTACCGTTTTTTAAGTAAATTTCAAAGACAGTATTTAGATATTTATCTATAAATTTGTTCACCCCTACATATGCCATTTTGTTCGATTACCTTTCCCCAGCTTCATTACTCCATCCTCCCAGAACATGGCCATCTTTCTGGGTAATCCGATGATGTTAGATCAGGTGAGAGTGCAGCTGGAGTAGTAGGACATCCCACGCAAGCACTACCAATTTATGCTGGGCGTGTAAAGAAACGTGAGCTCTGAGGGTGACACACCCTTCCGAGTGACGAATTACTGGTGTTTTTTTTGATGGCTGCCTGTTGATTGAGGGAATTCAACGTTCAATTTTGGGGAAGGAACTAGTAATAAGCAGTCCTCTTCCAATTCCACTCGATTGTCTAGCGGCTATTCGAGTTTTTAACGGTAGTTCATTTCGTTTTCCACAAAAATTCTTTCGCCTCACATTGTTGTAAACAATCCATTTTTCATCGTTCGTGATCGTTCTTTTCAAAAATAGATGTTTTTCTTTTTTTGGAATTCAGCAAAGAATCGCAGGTAGATATGCGGTTACAATATTTTCTTTTTTTTTTAATTTACATCGCCAACTAAATTAAACTTATTTTTACTTAACATCGTCAGAAATAATTTTTTCCGTTACATAGTTTGGCACCGAAATTAAACTTATTTATTTACGTTACATCGCCAAGCAGCCAAATGAATTATTTTTTGTGTTACATCGTCAGACACCAAAATTTAACTTTTTTTCACGTTACATCGCTCGATACCCAAATTAAACTTTTTAACGTTACATTGCCAGACACGCAAATTCAACGTTTTTACCTTACATGGCCAGGCACCCAAATTAAACATTTGTTTTTACTTTACATCGCCAGACAACTAAGTTAAACCTTTTTATTTTACATCGCCAGGCACACAAACATCTTAGCGGTTTCTCTCTCCATATTTATTTTTGATAATTCACAGCGTTTATACGCAGTAACTAAAATATCACCGCATTGTCCTGGGCCGTTTGACCTGAATGTGTTTTTCAAATCAGCGTTTCGATTTGATGATCACATGCTTGATCCTTAACTGCATTGTACTCTTCCAAGCATTCTTGTAATGATGGGTGAAATCTCCATCCCCATCATGTTGCATTTTACACAAGGTTGTTAGTAATTCCACCAGTGGTATCTGTCATCTTCTAATTAACGTTATTATTCTTATGCATTAGTAATATTTAGCCTTTCTCCATCCCCGGTCTCCAAAAGTCGTACCCTGGAGATTCGCACGTGAAAATCCCGGTAAAAGAAACCACACAGTCATTAATCGTACCGACTCCTGTTTCCAAACGCGGAACGTTCCAACGCCCCAATACAAAGTAGCAGCTGTAAGGTCAATGAAGATGAATCAGGGAAGACGATAGTGAGACTGCAAACAGAACTGGGCAGAGTAAGGGTCCTAAGATGGTTACACGGCAGAGGCTTCAATAATCACCAAAATGCTTGATTGGAACTTGCGGCCGTGTCGTACAAACTAATGATCAAGATAATTAGGGAGACGCGTAATTGAACAACTCCAGCTTGACTCGGCACGGGGGTGATTTTCTCGGGACTTAAATTGGCAATGGGAATCAAAGGAGAGTAGAGGAGTGATACGGGGAAAAGAGGTTTGGCCAGTGTTAAGGTGCAGGGGCGAGAGAATGGGTTGGTTTGTGATCGATCGTTGATTTGTAGCTACATTTGTATGAGTGAGAAAATGGTTGTAAGAAAGAAAGAAAGAAAAGAGAATAGATGTAAGAAAGAAAAAGAAAGAAAGAAAGAAAGAAAGAAAGAAAGAAAGAAGAGAATAGATGTAAGAAGAAAGAAAGAAGTAAAAAGAATATAAGAAGAATGACAGAAAGAAAAGAGAATAGACGAAAGCAAAAAGAAAGAAAGAAAGAAAGAAAAAAAGAAAAAAGGGAATAGATGTAAGAAGAATGAAAGAAAAAAGAATAGATGTAAGAAGAAAGAAAGAAAGAAAAGAGAATAGATGTAAGAAAGAAAGAAAGAGAGAAAAAAGAAAGAAAGAAAGAAAAAAGAATAGATGTAAGAAGAAAGAAAGAAGTAAAAGAAATATAAGAAGAATGATAGAAAGAAAAGAGAATAGACGAAAGCAAAAAGAAAGAAAGAAAGAAAAGGGAATAAGTGAAAGAAAGAAAGAAAGAAAGAAAGAAAGAAAGAAATAAGCAAAATGAATATATGTAAGAAGAATGATAGAAAGAAAAGGGAATAGATATAGAAAGAAAGAAAGAAAGAAAGAAAGAAAGAAAAAAGAGAATAGTTGTAAGAAGAAAGAAAGAAGTAAAAGGAATATAAGAAGAGTGACAGAAAGAAAAGAGAATAGACGAAAGCAAAAAGAAAGAAAGAAAGAAAGAAAAGGGAATAACTGAAAGAAAGAATGAAAGAAAGAAAGAAAAAGAAGTAAAATGAATATATGTAAGAAGAATGATAGAAAGAAAAGGGAATATATGTAGGAAGAAAGAAAGAAAGAAAGAAAGAAAGAAAAGAGAATAGATGTAAGAAGAAAGAAAGAAGTAAAAGGAATATAAGAAGAATTATAGAAAGAAAAGAGAATAGACGAAAGCAAAAATAAAGAAAGAAAGAAAGAAAAGGGTATAGATGAAAGAAAGAAGTAACAGGAATATATGCAAGAAGAATGATAGAAAGAAAAGAGAATAGATGAAAGCGAACAGAAAAAAGAAAGAAAAGGCAATAGATGTAAGAAGAAATAAAGAAAGAAAAGAAAAGAAAGAAAATAGATGAAAGAATGAAAGAAGTAAAAAGAATATATGTAAGAAGAATGATAGAAAAAAAAGAATAGACGAAAGCGAAAAGAAAGAAAGAAAGAAACAAAACCTGAAAAAATAAAGAAACAAGGAAAGAAAACAAAATAAATGTAAGAAGAAAGAAAAAAAGAATGAAAGAAAGAGGCGAAAAAAGAAAAGGAATACAAGAAAGAAAGAAAGAAAGAAAGAAAGAAAGAAATTGAAATAGAGGAAACGGGAAAGAAAGAAAGAAAGAAAGAAAGAAAGAAAGAAAGAAAGAAAGAAAGAAAAGAGAACATTTGTCAGAAGAAAGATAGAAACAAAGACAGAAAGATAAACAGGAATGGATGAAAGAAAGAAAGAAAGAAGGAAAGAAAGAGAAAAGAACATTTGTCAGAAAAAAGATAGAAACGAAGACAGAAAGATAAACAGGAATGAAAGAAAGAAAGAAAGAAAGAAAGAAAAAGAAAAGAAAACTGAATAGACAAAAGCGGAAAAAAGAAAGAAAGGAAAATAACAGATGTAAGAATATAGAAACACAAAAAGTAACAAAAAAAGAAAGACAGGAAGAAAAACAAATGAATAGACGAAAAAAAGAAAAGGGGATATATGTAAGAAAGAAAGAAACTGAGTTAGAAAAGAAACAAACAAACAAACAAACAAATCCAAAGGAATCGATGAAGGAAAGAAAAGGGAATATATGTAAGAAAGAAAGAAAGAAAGAAAGAAAGAAAGAAAGAAAGAAAGAAAGAAAATAAAGAAAGAAAGGAAGAAAAAAAAGGAATAGATGAAAGCGGAAAGAAAGATAAGGCAAAAAACGAAAACGAATAGAAAGATATGAATGAAGAGAAAATGCTGAAAAAAATAAAAAAAAGGACGAAATAAAGAAAAATGAACGAATGAAGAAATGTGTGAAGTAAACAAAAATTAAAAGAAAGAAAATTAAAGGAATAAAGAAAATGTGAAGAAAAGAAAAAAAAAACAATAAACGAATAAATGCAATACGCGCGAGAGAAAAAATGAAAGAAAAAAAATGACGGACAGGAAAAACTAGTATGTGTAAGAAAAGAAAAGAAAAGAAAAGAAAAGAAAAGAAAAGAAAGGAAAAGGACAAACATACAAATGCAATAAAGAAAAGATGGAATGAAGAAAGGATAAGAATCGCAAAGACAGAGAATGAAAGAATTAAAAGAAACAGGTAAAAAAGAAAGAAAAATCGATTAGAGAAAAGAAAGCAGAAAGTAATAAGAAAATGAAAGAAATACACAAATGAAAATTATCCAGTGAAAAAGAAATTAAGTTAAAAAAAAAAAAAACGAGAAAGAAAAAGAGAGAAAATGGAACTGGTCAATATTCAACTATAAATTCAAGTATAAACTCGACTAATATTTACCGACAGAATCAAATATAACACCTGGCACATGCTTAGCGATAATGTTAATAATAATAATAATAATAATAATAATAATAAAGAAATGTGTAAACGCCAGAAATCAAAGAAAATAATAATAATAATAATGATAATAATAATAAACCCTACCAACAAAAAAACAAAGCGAATACCATTTACTCCAAAGCAGGAAAAAATAAAGCAAAACAACTTAGTCAAATGAAATTACAACAAAACTGGAGGACAAGTCGTTGCATGGTAAATATCTAAAAAGAAGGAAAAAAGTAGATGTGGACCAACAGAAAACACAGCAGTAGTTGAGAAGCACTGGGTTCTAAGCTGAGAGAGAAGGCCTAATTATTGCAGCTCAGGACCAAAGCCTCGCAACCAGATCCTATCAGTGTCACATAATCAAGGATGGAACTAACCCGAAATGCAGGATCTGTGGAAAATATGATGAAACTGTCGACCATTTTCTATCAGGATGTACGGAACTGGCAAAAGATGAATATACCCAGAGCCATAACAAGGTAGCTATATATGTGTACTGAATGATATGCATGAAGCACAAAATCGAAACCACTGAGAGATGGTATGACCATCAACCAGACACAGGTACCCAAAATAACAATGTAACTATCCTCCGCGACATGCCAATTCAAACTGAAAGAAATAAAAGCCAACAAGCCTGATATCATAAAAGACAAGAAATTCAGGAAGTACTTGCTTATTGACTAACAGTACCATCTGAGTGAAACACCATGAAAATTATCGAGAAATTGTTCAAATACAACGACCTGGAGATCGAGATTAACAGGATGTGGCGAAGTCAGAGACTGTACCAATTGTATTCGGAGCTCTAGACCCCGTGAGAAAAAGAATTGACAATTTTACTAACAGTGTCCAAGGTAACATCAACACCAATAAAACTATTAGGAACATCCTACTTACTAAGAAAAGTGATATCAATTAAAAGGCATTTCTCCTATATGGCCTAAGGACCCGGTTCTACAGGATACAAAGCAGAAAACATAACACACAAGCAATAATAATAATAATAAGGTAGATAAGTCGTATAATCCACCGGTAGTAGGTCAAGGCTGAAGCAAAAAGTGTCGAAAGAGAAAATGACGTTTGGACAAAATGTCGAACAAAGTGTCGAATGGACAAAGTATCAAACAAATAAAATGTCGAATGGAGAAAATGATGAATGGACGAAGTGTCGAACGGACAAAAGGACGAATGGACAAAGTGTCGAAGGGAAAAGAGGACGAATGGACAAAGTGTCGAAGGGAAAAAAGGACGAATGGACAAAGTGTCGAACGGACAAAATGACGAATGGACAAAGTGTCGAACGGAAAAAAGACGAATGGACAAAGTGTCGGAAGGACAAAATGACGAATAGAAAAAAAGTCGAACTGACTAAATAGAGAACGGAATTTGCCAGCACTGAAATGATTTTAGAGAAAATGCAACGAAGCAGAGTTGGCGAAATAAAATACAAAAATATATACGGTTTCTAATCTCACCCAAACACAATTGGAATTATTGATTTCTTTATGTGCCACTGTTTTGAGATTTGCAGTTCAAAATTTTTGTATTTTGATACTTTTTAAAATCTTTAAAGATACATTGCAGTCTGCTTATTATTATTATTATTATTATTATTTCTTTTGATTTCTGGTGCAAGCACATTTCTTTCCGGGTCCCACCCAGAGATCCAATATAAAAAAAATGTCACCATGATATTTTCCACTGAGCAATTAAAAAAGTTTTTAAAAAATATAATCATATTTTATATAGTAAAGCTCTTCGTAAGGCGTGGACTGTACTCGTGAGAGAAAAAAAAATTGTATCTCTTTTAAGGCATCGGCTACCAGGAATCACTTCATTGAGTCTATTGGAATATTTTCCAATCAATCCGAGAGCTCCAACTACAAAAGAGATTGTTGATATTCCCATGTGCCACATTTTTGAAATTTCGATTTCAAGGTACTTGTATTTTGATAGCTTTTTGAAGATCTTCTTTGCTCCTGTTAAGAACAGATTGTAGTTGATTTCTGAGATCAGCTGCCAATTCGAACCGACCAGACGATAAACTGAGACAGGAGCAAAAGCATAGATACTGAGGTGAGAATGATGCCATCGGAAGGTCAGGAACAAAGTAGGTCCAATGATAGGGCCTTAGGGCCGTGTGTGCTGAGGTTTTAACTATTATTTTTCTCGTTGACAACTATTCTCACACATATTTCAATGGATGAGTTCAAAAAAATGAACATGTAGCGGTTTTGTCTCTCTTGCTTTTATATTCTCTTGCAGCATCTTCCCTTTTTATTCTTTTCCGACATTATTTCGCTTCTTATTTATGTACTATTTCGTAATTTGTCTTGTTTTCTATTGTTTTGTTTACCTAAAGTTTTATATACTTAAAAACCGTTTTCTTTTTTTTTTTTTTTTTTGGCTTTTTTTGGCTTCTAAAACACGTAGTCATCATACTTATTATAAAACCCAGGTTGTGTGTGTGTGTCTGTACGTTTATATATTGGATCGGATTTCTACATTTTTCAACCGATTTCAACAAAACTTCACAGGACTACGTAAAATTACCTTGCGGTGGTTCTGACAGCGCCCAAAATTGGAAAAATACAATTGTTTTTGCACGAAATCAATTTGAAAACACGATTAAGAGGCATCGCGAGAATGAAAGGGGGACAACTCATATCGAGTTATACTTATTATAAAACCCAGGTTGTTTGTGTGTGTGTGTGTGTGTGTTCGGTTATATATGGGATCGGATTTCCTACATTTTTCAACCGATTTCAACAAAACTTCACAGGACTACGTAAAATTACCTTGCGGTGGCTCTGACAGCGCCCAAAATTGGAAAAACACAATTGTTTTTGCACGAAATCAATTTGAAAACACGATTAAGAGGCATCGCTCTTTCGAGAAATAAAGGGGGACAACTCATATCGAGTTATGCTTATTATAAAACCCAGATTGTTTGTGTGTGTGTGTGTGTGTGTATGTCTGTGTTCGTTTATATATTGGATCTGATTTCCTACAATTTTCAACCGATTTCAACAAAACTTCACTTTTTTTTTTGGCAGGTAGTGTTTCTTATTGTCTTGCACACTTTTTGCTTTATTTTTACATTCAGAATGCTTTAAAAATTCCATTTACAAGACAATTGTTTATAATAAAATTCTATTCAATCGGTAGACTCATAACGATTGAAAACAATGTTTTTGTTTGAGTTTGGGTTTGACCAATTCGTAAAAAAAAATTAAAAAAAAAATATAATTAAGACATGCGTGTCCGTCAACCTTAAACAGCAATCTTTGTCAATTTTATTTTTCAGTCTTTATGATGGTCGATACTTGATCTATCTCTTACTGTTACATCCCCGCGCAACGCCGGGCTCTACTGCTAGTAATGTTTATAATGTTTATACTCCAAGCCTCATCACAAAGCGGGATGTGGCACAAGGCCGATTTGTAAAGTGGGGCTTTCCGAATGCGTACGCTCAGGCAAAAATTCTGGGTCGAGACCCTGTCCTTTGGTATAGCCTCGTCTGGGATCCTCCCTGCTCGAAGACAGCGAGGCCGACAAGAAGTCCTGTTGGACTTCGGTATTCACCCGAAGCCTCCCCAGAAGAAGACATCAGCGTCTTATTTATGTACTACTATTTCGTAATTTTTCTTGTTTTCTATTGTCTTTGTTTACCTAACGTTTTATATACTTAAAAACCGTTAGTTTTTTAGCTTCTGAAACACATAAAAAAAACGATATACTTCGAAACACACCAGAAGACAAATAGAGAAGACAAATAGATCCCAAAGAAAAACTAGAGTTCTTTCTCCCCTGTACACTTGTATCCTATCTTACGGTCGCTGAGGACGTCTCTTCAGGACTCATTTCGGAGGTAGCTAAATGTTTATTGACATAAGATCGGGCTGATAAACAAAACGATCAGTTCTGTTACAAGTTTTCTACGGGGCGGGAGATATATATATATATATATATATATATATATATATACACACACATATATATATATATATATATATATATATACACACACACACATATATATATATATATATATATATATATATATACACATATATATATATATATATATATATATATATACACACACACATATATATATATATATATATATATATATATATACACACACATATATATATATATATATATATATACACACACACATATATATATATATATATATATATATATACACACACATATATATATATATATATATATATATATATATACACACATATATATATATATATATACACACACATATATATATATATATATATATATATATATATATATATATATATATATATATATATATATATATATATATATATATATATATGTGTGTGTGTGTGTGTGTGTGTATATATTCCATCGTAGTATGAAGAAAAATATGTTGAATTGTATATTGTGCTATGTTAATTATGTTTTATGAATATGTCCGGAAGATGGTCTATTAGACCGAAACGTCCGACGTTGACATTAAACATTAAAACGGCATAATCGCATATTAGGATACTTGTTTGTTTTTTTCAGTATATTTTTCTTCACACACACACACACACACATATATATATATATATATATACACAAACACAAACACCTGGCTGAGAGATTATATATATATATATATATATATATATATATATATATATATATATATATATATATATATATATGAAAGTCTTTGAGGATGGTTAGAGGGAGTTACGGAAAGAACCTACTGGAGAAGATCAGAATGCAATGCCGTCGGGAGATCCGTCTCCTGGTAGGGTCGCCCATGGAGATAGGGATTTAGGTAATGGACCAGACTAAACACGAACCGACACCCTGGTGTGTAGGCGGTCAAGGGGACGTTCTTCTTACAAGCTTTGATCATGAATCTGCCTATCAAGCCCTGGTTTGCCGCAGCGGCTGGTGTCAATTGAAATGTGTGTTCTATGGAGTGGCAACCCATGGACCAACTCAAACACTTTTCGTCTTCTGACGTCTAAAGAACCAATTGGAGAAGAGCAGTTCATGAATAAACCAATATCATTCGAAAATCCTGGAAGACAAATAAAAGAGACAAATAGTTCCCAAAGAAAAGCCAGAGTTCTTTCTCCCCTGTACTCTCGTATCCTATCTTACGGTGGCTGTGAACGTCTCTCCAGCACTCATTTCACACAGAAGGAAATATCGATGAGCACCCCACCCAATAATCTGCAACGTTTTCCGTCAACGATTCTTCTTTGCTCTCGATGTTCTCTTTTATATGGATTCCGGATTTAGGATTTTCTCTTTGCTGTTTACCAAGTGTAAGACTAAAGACCTCCGAGCACATCTCGCTGCACCCACTTCAATGCCAATAATTCCTCTACGTTCTTTCTTTCGTAACTAATATAATCTGATCATATACACACACACATTTATATATATATATATCATAATTAAGTAATTCATCGAATCTAGAAGAAACCTTAATAGAATGCAGAAAGCACTCGCCGGCCGTTTCGTCCTATATTTGGGACTCATCAGCAGTGCGCATCCACTTCCGAGAATTAAAACCCGAACAGTTACGATAGGACGATGGTATGAAGGCGTATGTGTTCTGAGTGGTAAGCAGGCTAAATAATAATATGGCCTTATCTTAGATTTCGGTTGACCATGAATCGAACAGAATTAAGTGTGAGAGAATTTCTATCCTGGAGGTAGCTAAATGTTTATTGACATAAAATCGGGCTGATAGACAAAACGATCAGTTCTGTTACAAGTTTTCTACGGGGAGGGGGTATATATATATATATATATATATATATATATATATATATATATACACGTCTTACTAGTTTGTGACTGGAAGGGATAATTCCGAAGAGGATATAAATCCAGAGAGAGCTCAATGTAGAATACAGAGCATTATAATGACATTATAATGATAAATAAAAAGACGGAGACTTTAATTTTCCATTTCCATTATAATTTATTTCGTAAACACCGACCGAAATCTCGTCCGTAAAAAAACGGAGGAAATTCCGATCTGAAGAGTTGAACATTACGGTGTTCACGAAATAAATTATAATCGAAATGGTTACTTCTGTCTTTTTATTATGATTATATATATATATATATATATATATATATATATATATATATGAAACGTTTCGTGCAGTGTCCGCGTCTTTTTTTCCTGATTTTGTAGCTCTTCCGTTCTTTTTTTTTCTACATCCCGTGCCCCTTCAGGACGTTGGCGATCATGGCTCTCCACAATTTTCTGTTCTTTGTAGCCCTGAATAAAATGTCTTTCTGTCACCTCGACTAAACCCTTTTAGGCCATAAATTTACACAAACTTACTAAGAAAGTTATGCGTTGTTTACTCCGTCTCTATTGCCATCCAATATGCCCTTTGAGTATCAAATTTTCGAAGCAGTCTTTTCTCATTAAGTGTCCCATAAATTTTAACTTTCATTCTGCTGTTAAATATAAGTGTCATTTTTGCTTTCATTTTATCAAAACTTCATTAGCGCTCACAATCCATTGAATTCTCAGTATGGTAAAGGCAGGAGATGGCGATAGACGTTACATTTTTGAAGATTGTAGAGGAAGTGTTCCGACAGAGGACGGTAAATGCGACGCTGAGATCCGAAGACGTATTGGGATGGCAAAAGATGCATTTCGAAAGCTAGGCAGAGTATTACGAGTCAGAAGGATTTCTTTTGTAACAAAGAAAAGAGTACTTAGCTGCTACGTGACATCTGTCCTCCTTTACGGCAAGCGAATGTTGGCCTGTCTTCTCAAAGATGAAGAAGAGACTCGAGGCAACGGAGATATGGTTCTACAAAAGGATGCTAAGGATATCATGGACCGAGCGTGTGAGCAACGATGAGGTATGAGGGAACGATCTGGGAAATGTTCTGACAGAGGACCGTCAGTGCGACGCTGAGATCCGAAGACGCAGTGGGATGGCCAAAGACGCATTCCAAAAGCTAAGCAGAGTATTACGAGACAGGAGGATTTCTTTGGTAACAAAAAGTAGTGAATTCTTACGGTTCTACAGAAGGATGCTAAGGATACCATGGACTGAAAATGTGAGCAACGATGAGGTTTTGGAGAAGATGCAAACAAAGAGGTAACTTATACTTAACATCGGGAAGAGGCAACTGAAATTTCTGGGACACGTAATAAGAAAGGAGGGTTGATACTCATATTCGGATAGATAGATAGATTTAAATAAACTTCAGATAGATAGATAGAAAGATAGATAATGTGTAATCAGAATTGGATACATAGGTTTAAACATAATTAGATAGATAGGTTTTAATTTAATTGAATAGATAGATAGATAGATAGATGTGAACCTGAGACAAATAGGTAGAAAGTTTTAAATAGACTGAGATAGATAGATAGATAGATAGATATGTGTAATCAGAATTGGATACATAGGTTTTAACAGAATTAGATAGATAGATAGATAGATAGATAGATAGATAGATAGATAGATAGATAGATAGATAGATAGATAGATAGATGTGAACTAGAGATAAATAAGTAGAAAGTTTTAAATAGACTGAGATAGATAGATAGATAGATAGATAGAGATAGATAGATAAAAAGAAAGAAAGAAAGAAATAGACTGAGATAGATAGATAGATAGATAGATAGATAGATAGATAGATAGATAGATAGATAATGTGTAATCAGAATTGGATACATAGGTTTAGACATAATTAGATAGATAGGTTTTAACAGAATTAGATAGATAGATAGATAGATAGATAGATAGATAGATAGATAGATAGATATCTGTAATCAGAATTGGATACATAGGTTTAGACATAATTGGATAGATAGGTTTTAACCGAATTAGATAGATAGATAGATAGATAGATCGACGAAAAACCTGAGAAAGATAGATGCGTACAAACTGAGAAAGATTGATATGAACCGATGAAGAAAGAAAAATAAACGTTTTTCAGCTTATTTTATTCACGTCTCACACAAACTCACCCAGAAGGCAAAACCATGACACTTAATCCTGATTACAGACACTTACTCAATTTTCATTTCATTTTCTTTCTTTTTTTATTACTTCCTCCTCAATATCTTTCTAATTTACTATTCACGTTCACCCTTTTCTTTAATTTATTTCTCTTTTGTTATTTTTCTCTTTCTTTTTTATGTTTTCTTTCATTTTCTTTCCTTTCATTCACTCCCTTTTCTCGTATTTTCTTTCATATTCTCCTCTTTCATTTTCTTCTAAGTTTACTTCCTTCTTTTGCTTTTTCTAATTTTATTCCTCAATCTTATCCCGTGTATTCTTTCATTTCCTCTTTTTTCTTCCTTTCTTCTTCGCTTTTCTTTTTCACTGTTTAAATCCGTTTTTATTCCTTTTGGCTTCCTTATTTTTCTTCCTATTTTACCAGATTTTCTTCTTTTTCCTTCTTTTTGTCGTCTTCTTTCTATTTTCTGTAATTCTTTCCTTTTTTATCTTTCTTTCTTTCTTATTTTACTTACTTTTCCTTCTCTTTTTCCTTCTAAATTCATTCGTTTTTTCTTCTGCCGATCTTTTTATATTTCTTTTCTTTTTTCTTTCTTTACTTTTTTCCCCTTATCTTTCTTTCATGTTTTCTTTCTTTTTCATAATTTCCTGAGTTTTTTTTTCCTTCTTAAGTCTTTTTTTCCCGTCTTACTTCCGTTTTACTTTTATTCCTTTCTCTTCTTTTTTAAATTCTTTTCGGTTTTCATTTTTTACATATATTTTTCTTTTTTTTTTCGGTTTATTTCTTCTTCTTCTTTTTGATATACATTTTACTTTCTTCAGACCAGAGACTTTTTTATTTATTTTGTAACCATTCATACACCATTCCTATCATTTCAAATTTGTCTTTCTTTTCTCTTTCTACTAAAGAACTCTTTTTCATCCGTTACTCTTTCATTCAATGAGTTATCTTCCTTCCTTTTTCGCCACACTTCTTGTCAAAACTCCTGCAGTCTGCTATGTTTTTGTTCACCTTTTTTTTTATTCATTCTTTTTTTTGGATTCTTTCATTTAATCTTTTTTCATATATATTTCATCCTTTTTTCTTCTTCTTTCATTCATAATTTTTCTTATTTCCTTCCTTCATTCTTTTTTCTCATTCCTTTCATTCATTCATTGTCTTATTTCTTTCAATCGTTATTTTTATTACTTATGTCTTTGATTATTTTCTTACCATTTTATTCATTCTTTTTCTCATTCTATTCTCTTTTCAATCATTCTTTTCTTATTCTTTCATTCATCATTTTCTTTATTCCTTTTATTCATTTTATCTTTTATGCATTTTTTCACTCATTTTTCTCATTCGTTCTTTCAATTAATTATGATTATAAATATTTTCTCAAGTTTCATTTCATTTTTCTTCCGTTTCATTTCAACCCTTTTCCTTATTTTTTTCTTTCAATAATTTATTTCACTATTCTTCATTATTCTTATCTCATTCACATACTTCATTCTTGCTTTTATTTTTTATTCAATCTTTTCCTTATTGTTTTCGTTCATTCTTTTTCATATCTGTTTCATTGATTTTTTCCTTCGTTGTCTTATTCCTTTCATTCAGTTTTTATTTTGATAGCGGTTTTTTTCTCTTTTATTTTACTTTATCTCTCTCGTTCTTTAGCATAACACTGTTTTTTTTATTAATAGGATCTTTGTTTTTTATCGCACTTACTAATGTTTCTTTTCTTTTTTTTTATCTTTCTCTTTTTCTTCCTTTCCGTCTTTCTATACGTTTTTATCGTCTGCTAGCTTTCAACTGCTTTCTGCTTTTCTAACTTCCTTTTCTTTTCTTCTTCGTATATCCCTTAAAATTACTTTTTTCTTTATCCTCCATTGAATAGCAGACATCGAGTTCTCAGCCGTTATCTTTTTTTATCTCTTTCTCGATTTCTTCTTCTTCATTTTTTTTCTCCTTCTTCTTACATTTCTTTCTTATTTCCATTTTTATTTTCTTTCAGATGATCTGCTTTTTCAATTATGAAGTCATTTCGCCATCAATGACGTCTGACTGTTTCCACTTGCGGCCAGCGCGTTCTCGACTCGGAGGGGAAATCACGAATCTAATTAAAACCGCGCCAAGATGGCCGACAAGTGCGGACAAAGTACAAAGGAAACTCGGGAACAATCGGGAATCGTGTGAGCCGATCGACACGCCATTTTGACTTGCTACAACTTTCTATTTGGCCATATATTTCTTTTTTTTGTGTATGTGTGTGAGTGGCGGGTTACTGTCGAAACGTGAAAAGAACACGACGCACACACACTCGCGCGGAACACATAAGGCATTTTTATATCATCAACTTTCTTTGAAACGCTGAAAAAGATTATATTTAATATAATACCTATTAGGTTGAGTTATAAATAATTTCCGTTTTTTTTGGGGGGGGGGACAATTGTAATGACGAATGTATCATCCAAACTAACCGTTCCTTAAATACAGCAAAACAGGTAATTAGGTGGGTTACATACGACAATGTTCAACGTAAAAGGTATCGCATTGGCAAGAATAAATCTCTACAAACGGCGCAAAAGCAGATTGAATTATTTTTCTACGGTTATCAACATTTTGCAGGTTATTTAAAGGCATATAATATTTTTTAGAGTGTAAAAATTTGGTTGTAATAATGTTTTTAGGGCTACAAGTCTTACTAATTAACCCATAGCTGGCGGAGAAGTGGTGGGTTCGTGCTTTTCTCAAATGTGTTTGCGACTAGGTGAATATAACGGACCCAACAGGAATTGGAACTCGGCTCTCCGACTAACAATTCCGAGGCATTATCCATTACACCACCTGCACATCCAAGCTTACAGTGCATAGCATTCTCAAGCGGTCATACATCCGGGCACTGTCCAGACTCGATGTTGCTTAAATTTGGAGATCGTACGGGAAGCAGTGTTTCAACGTGATGTGGCCCAAAACCTCCCAAAATTTGAGCTCTATGTAGGAAAGGTAATGTTGTATGTGTGGTAGAATTGTCGGGCTATTATTCATTTAGAGTCCTTAAAACGCAGCGAAACAATAAATGCACATTTATAAATCCAGCAGCTGGAACATTTCCATAGAGGTTTAACCATAAAGCAACCTACATTCGTCAATAATATAAATGCTGCTCTCAGAGCCAAAATAACTCAGAAAAGAAAATGGAATTAGTTTTGTCGATCCTCTCGAATTTGACCTCTTCAGCTGACCTTGTGCCAACCGATTATTAAATTGTACCTGCTTCGAAGGCTGCAAAAGGTTTTGAGAGGCAAAACTTTAGTTTGATGGAAGCCATATTCAAGAGTTCGTCGAAAAGGTTTTCACAGAATTTTACATCTGTCAAAGAGTTTCATGGCAAAAACCCACCCCCAAAACATCTGAATATATAGGGCGTTCCAATAACTTGGACCGATTTTAAATATAAATTAACTTTAAGCGCCTAATGTTTTTTTTTCTTTTTCTTTCAAATTTAACAACTGTAAGTTATCGAAGCCTATTACGAAAATAGACGCTCAAACAGAAATGCATTTCACTCATTCCGCGAAGTTTTTGGTCAACATAATCGACCAACCGAGAGGGCAGTTGGAAAGAATATAACGTTGTTGGGGAGAAATTCAATTCTTGCGCGCGATGACGAATAGAGGTGTCTGTATTTTTGGCCACATGCGCAGCAACAATGTTTTCAGCAAGTACTAAAGGATGTTCCAATAACTTGGAACGATTTTAAATATGAATTAAGCGTCTTAATGATTTTTTTCTTTTTCTTTCAGATTTAACAACTTTGAGGTGTTAAGGTTATCGAAGCCCATCACGAAAATAGACGTTCAAACAGAAATGCATTTCACTCACTCCGCGAAGTTCTTGGTCAACATAATTGACCAACCGAGAGGGCAATTGGAAAGAATATAACGTTGTTGGGGAGAAATTCAATTCCTGCGCGCGATGACGAATAGAGGTGTCTGGATTTTCGGCCACATTCTCGGGCACTGCAGCAATATTTTCATCTGAACGGGGTAAACGAGCACGCAATGGTGTTTTCACATCTGCCACCGACCCAGTTTGTTTAAATTTACGAAGGATTTTTCTAATTGCACTCTTAAAACTTTAACATGTTGTTTGATTATTAATCTTTCCATGGTTGAAATTGCCAAAGACTTAAGTTGTTAAATATGAAATAAAAGAAAAAAATCATTAGACGCTTAAACTTAATTCATATTTAAAATCAGTCCAAGTTATTGAAACGCCATTTACATACATACATACATACATACATATATATATGTATGTGTGTGTGTGTGTGTGTGTGTGTGTGTGTGTGTGTGTGGACAGCGTATCTAGAAATAAAGCATATATTCCCTTAAAATACACAGAAATTGTTGATAATTATATTTATAGGTATAAAATATATTTTAATATAGAATAATATAGTTCTCTGAGTGAATGTATATCTCTCTCCAAGTTAAGTACACACGCTCATAGAAACAAGAAACGTATAATAAAAATGTAATCGCAGTCACTTGTTTATCTTCCATGAAAACAGAATATAAATAGTGTTCCAATAACTTGGACCGATTTTAAATGTGAATTAACTTTAAGCGTCTAATGATTTTTTTCTTTTTCTTTCAGATTTAACAACTTTAAGGTGTTAAGGTTATCGAAGCCTATTACGAAAATGGACGTTCAAACAGAAATGCATTTCACTCACTCCGCGATGTTTTTGGTCAACATAATCGACCAACCGAGAGCGCAATTGGAAAGAATATAACGTTGTTGGGGAGAAGTTCAATTTCTGCGCGCGATGACGAATAGAGGGGTCTGGATTTTTGGCCACATGCGCAGCAACAATGTTTTCAGCAAGTATTAAAGGATGTTCCAATAACTTGGACCGATTTTAAATATGAATTAAGCGTCTTAATGATTTTTTTCTTTTTCTTTCAGATTTAACAACTTAAGTCTTTGGCAATTTTAACTATAGAAAGATTAACAATCAAACAACTTGTTAAAGTTATCGAAGCCTATTACGAATATGGACGTTCAAACAGAATTGCAATAAGTTCCCAGGTCGCATCATCTCTCGAAACAGCGAAGTCAATTGGCCATCCCGATCGTACAACTTGACGCCTTTAGATTTCTTCCTTTGGGGGTCATCTGAAAAGTAAGGTCTATGCCAACAAGCCAACAACAATTCAACAGCTGAAGGATGAGATAATAAGGCATATTGGTGAGATTGAGAGCAACTATGCAGAGACTTCATCAAATATTTTGACCATCGAGTGGAAGTGTGGCGGACATTTGGACGATATTATTTTTCGCACATAACTGTCATGACTTAAATAACATGATCCAATAGAGAAATACATAAATCTTCACCAATAACACTGATTTATGTACTGCTGACTTTGATCCGTCTTAATGAAACACACTTATAATCATTTAATAAAATTAACAATACATTTTATCTGTTTAGATTTCTTCCTTTGAGGTCATCTCAAAAGTAAGGTCTATGCCAACAAGCCAACAACAATTCAACAGCTGAAGGGTGGAGATAATAAGGCATATTGGTGAGATCGAAGAGCAACTATGCAGAGACGCCATAAAAAAAATTTTGACCATGGAGTGGATGTTTGCCGCCGAATCCTTGGCGGACATTTGGGCGATATTATTTTTCAGAAATAATTACCATGATCCAATAGGGAAATACATAGATTTTCACTAATAACACCTATTTATTTACTGATGACACTGATCCGACTTAATGAAACACCCATTATAATAGGATAAAATATAACCGTACGTTATTTCAGGAAGAATAAAAAAAACAAAAATTAGTTATGACTGAAACTAATATTTAGTTATCTATTTTGTAAATTGGCGGTAGAAACTATTTCGGAATAACATACAACAAAATTTAAATATGCAATTCGAATGGTCTTAGCCGATGAAAAAAATTTTGAACGAGGTTAACAAAGCTATAAGGTTGACTCCTCATGTGGAAAGTATGACCTACAGTTCTTTTTCTTTGCTGTATTTCACGTTATTTATTAAAGACATTTTTTAAATAACAACGTTAAACATAAAAAATATCTTTAATAAATAAATTGTCGGACCTTGTCCATTTCTTAATATATGACGTCATTTGTTTACATTTGATACGCCAGAGCAGTTATGAATGTACGAGATTCATGGAAGATTGAAATTTATAAGCAGTAAATTCGACCTTGTCTACCGAAAGGTTCTTTGTAGCCCAGAGGTAAAGCACGTCAGCGTAAATGACGGTTCCGTATAGGATGCAGGTTCGAATCCTGTCAAAGAACGAATATTTTCTATGAAAATTTCTCGGACATTCAGGCCGGTAAATGTTATTCAATACTGTTTATCATAAACAGAGCATTTGCTTAAATACTTGTATCTATAAATAACAACGTTAAACATAATATATATATATATATATATAATATGATTCCATAGCGATACAGAAATTACAATGTTTCGGAACTTGACTCAAGTCATAAAGATTAAATTCAATATTAAACTTGAAAACTAACTC